GAAAACATAACAAAATCTGGTCAAAACCCCTTTGTTCTACATGTCCCAAGATGCAAAGTTTCTTAACTGATAAGTGGCAATTATCAGTCATCAATAAATTAATCAGTAGCTTGGGTTAACTAGGGAATGGACACTTGACTTCCACAGTAGAAATGACGGGTTACATTAGTTACTCAGTATTAGGAGTTCAAGCTCTGGCTGGAATTCATTGACAGTCTCAGAAGTCTGCATCATGGTGACCCATTGCTAGCTAAACAATGGTCTTGGCCTGACAACATAGAACTGCCCATAATTGGAACGACTGCCTCGTTGACTCACTATTAAACTGACCAAGATGCCATCTTCTGCCTCATTAAACAGTGAGAGACTCCATCTGGTGACGAAACATTTTCTAACATGCGTTTCCCTCATCTTCCGTCTCATCGTTTAGAGTGGTGTAAGATGAGCCTGTGGATTAGCTGAGACACCCCTTGTTTCTAGAAAACCATAGGAGAAATTAGTCATGTAACCAAACATTTTTGAAGAGTTATCTAGAATAGAATAGAATAGAAAAATACTTTATTAATCCCAGTCTGGGAAATTACTATTATACTGTCCCAGTGAAGAGAAGGAACACACGGAGTAAGAGGTAATCACATTGTGGTCTACAAAATTGTTTTGCTGTTCGGAGTAAATTTTTCATGTTTATGATTTTATGACTGTTGTACTGAACAATTATTGAGACATCTGAAACAATTTCACACATGTTAGTGTGTTAGTAAGCTGCAATCTGAGGCTAAACTGTTAGCATGAAGTTAGCTCTAAACTGTCTGGATGATGCACTTTTGATAAAATGGTGGCAGCAGGGTTATTTGAGTCAAAGTTGAGCCACTGGCTGCATCTGGATGGACGGGCAATTTTGACCTTCAAGGAGAAGGATGAGGGAATGATCCATAGGAAGCAGGTGATCAGGAATCTGCCAACACCTCAAAATTGTTGTTGGTATTAACCCAGTACTGTGAGAACTGCAGTCTATTTTATTCTTTTCCAATTTGTTTTTGTTCTGACAATGTGAAATACGTTGGCCTTGTTGACAAAAATAGGTCTTTGGAATTGTAAACTTTATCAATGTTGAACAGGTTTTTGTTCTAGAAATGTGAAATCCTTATGCCTTACTGAAGACAAGTGGCCTTTCAAGTTGGAACCTATATATATATGTTAAATAGTAGCCCAGTTTTTAAAATATGTTAATTTTGAACATGATTTTGTTCTAAAAATTTGTCATCTGTGGGCCTTTTGAAAGGAAATTGGCCTTAAATGCAATTTTTAAGAGGTAATTTGCAACTGAGTTGCTCTTGCTTTGACAAAGCATCATATGAGGTATAAATTTTCATTTTACTTCACCATAA